TCGGCCGGCCATAAGCTTAGTCTCGAAAGCTTATCGGACGGTTCCCTCGTACGCGGTGCACGTGGGTCTTATTGGACGGTCACGCGGTGAAGCAGTAACCTGGACACGTGGCGTGTAGTGATTCAATAAGTCGATAGCGTATAATAACGGACGATGCGCGGCCGCGAGTTCAGCGCGCAGCCGGGAGTCGGTGCGCAGTCGTGCCGTTACATCCGAGATTGTTGCACGCTCTGTGGGCCCCACCCGAAGGTGAGCATATCTCGCCATTGCTTTTATTGCGCGGGCATGCTGAACAATGTCTCCAATGTAGAGTACTTCAAAGTGGATGCAATGAATGATGAATATTCTGGCACGTTAACGATAGCGTGCATCCAAATATGGGTACATAATTGTGCACATACCACGCTGTTTAGCAACTTGAAATTGATGCATTTTGATCAATCCGAGTTGTATACATGTTGAGTGACAATCACATAGTCCCGCAGGTGTAAGAACGGAAATACACTTTTGCAGGTGCTTCTCTGTGATGGGATTGTTGGGCTTGCGAATTCGGACGGGGCCAAGCGTCCGGGCGGCCTTGGCTCGACGTCCCTCGACGCTCGGCGCACCATGCTGCATCCCAGCAGGTTCGAAAACGGAGATCTTCTTGCGAAGCGGTCGATCTCCGGGAGCGACTATTGCGGTGCGGGTCTGGAAGGAGGGGGTCTCAAACGGAAGCTGCTCCTTCAGCCGGAGCTCCGAGAGGCGATCGCGCGTCTCTCACAGCAGCGGCCAAAAGACGAGACGCTAGGTCAGCGGCTCTCAGAGGCGGAGTACGGAGCTCTCCTGGACGGCCTGGCCCACGAGGACCCTCGGATTGTCAAGCGCTTTGGGATGGGCGATGCCGAAGCTCCGCTTCCGGAAGACGGCAGGAGACGCCTTCTGTCCGAGCAGCGGACGATGGTTTTGGACCGGAACATGGCCGTTTTCGAGCTGCTGACGGGCATCCAGGGGGACTTCGAGAGACGGGGGATGAATCCAAACCTCTGGCAGTCCTGGTGTGGCGATTGGACGGAGCTTCTATACAGCCTTGGCGCGCACGATGGGGACGAGGATCTAATTGGGGCGAGCGCGCTCCACGTGGTCCGCAGGCTGCTTTTGGGGGGTGAGGCGTCCCTTGAGGATCGGCGTGAGCTAGCAAGGTCTGCACCGATTCTCCGACGCATCTTGGATGCGTATGGAGGGCTCACATTCCCAGCCTTCTTCATGCGGACCCTCCACATGCTCTACTTGCTTACGTTGCTGGCTAGAGGAGCTACGGGTTTTGAGGCAGAGGGACAGGTAGGCTGGGTGCATGCTGGAGTACGGCCGCTCGACCAGGCGGTCTGGCTGCTAGCAGAGGCAAGAACTCGGCCGCTGGCAATGGACGAGAACCAGCGGCTAAACGAGGCACGTGCCCTAGCAAACGAACTCTTGCCCGGCGTTGAGAGCCTGAACCCGAGCCCCCAGCAGTGGGCGTCCATGAGCGAACGAGAGAAGGCGCTGCTCTAGGAGCGGCTAGGGAGAGACGAGGAAGGCATCGAGCTGCACCCACTCCCGGAGGGGCACAGCTTCCGGGCCGAGCAGGACGCGTTGGCTCGCTACGACTTTCCGGGCTGGGAACAGCAACGGGGACTGCCACACTTCAGCAGTTTCGAGCATCCGGACGGCAGGAGTCGAAGCTCGGAGGAGTTTAAGTGTGCAACCGGGCGAACAGTGACGGAGTGGGACGCCGAACATGTTGCGGGGCTCGTGAAAGGGGGTGGGAAATTGTCGGGGAAGAAGGGGAGCATGGCAAAGCGGCCGAACCGATCACGGGGCGCGTTCGTCTTCTGTTGTCCCCATCGCGTCATCTATGGTTTTCACGTCATGCTGCGGGGCGAAAGCCCCAGGGATCCGTTCACGGTCCTCTATACCCGGCTGAGGCGCGATGACCTTCCAGAGGTGGTCATCTATGACAACGCGTGTGCGTTACGGAATTATTGCATGCGGCGGGCTCCGGCCCACTTTGCAAACGTTCGATTCCTTGTGGACAGGTGAGTCATGATGCTAGAGTTCGTCAGGTTTTGCATCGGAGGCCTTGGAACTTGATTGAAAATGTATATCCGAACTCAATCGCGGCACTTGGCGGTCGTGACTCGGCGGCAAGTATTGGTTGCCTTGCGATTGAATGCCCATGTACACGCTCCCCATATGCAGGTTTCATTATGCAAAGGCGGGTGCCGAGGTCCACAAATGCGGGCCATCCAACAGTGTGGATTCTTACGACTGGTTGGAATGGGTTAACACAAGCGCCGTCGAGTCTGTGAACAGCTATTTGAAGGGCTTTCGATCTCTAGGATGGTACAGCGGCTTAGAGAGCTTCATGGTGATTCTGCCGTTGCTCCTGGGCGGTTACAACGCGGCTCTGAGGCGCGTTGACGACGCAAAGCTGTGCGTCGCAATCTTGGTGACCTGCTGGACGGTTGGAGTGCGAGTAGGGTTGCTGAGAGGGTAGGGTAGGTATCACAGTAGAAGACAATAGAAGCATCACCATTTTTTTGAACTTAAAGGAGCAAAGTGGATTACTGAGGTAGATACATTCGGAGGGGAGGAGGAAGGAGGTTAGGGTGATGTGTACAATATATGTTCGAGGTACGCGCAAGCATTGATGATGTGGTTAGCGTGTCGCTTCAATGTAATCACGCTCTAGGCCGGTGTCGAGCATCTGCTGCGCTACGTACATAATCAAATTGATGTCATGCACCGAGTATCCGGCTTCGTATTCGGAACCCATTGCCGCATCCAAATAGCTAGCAAGAAAGCTCAACGTGGTCATCTTCGTAGCCGGATCCATCTCATGGATTAAAAACTTCAAGATACCTTTTCGTAGATAAGGGGATACGGCTGATTGACTGCGCAACCCCTGTTCGATCAATTGATCCGCTGAGTTCAGATCCATGTCGAGACAATCAACTTCTTCCAGCAGATGCCGCATATCGTGACGTTCGTGCGTCTTAACAAAACGTAAAGCCGCCGGTATGTCAAGATGCACGATGCGTGGGCCCATTGTATATTGTTCTGGACTAGGAAATAAATACAAGTGTTGTCGATCGGATGGTCGGCCCCCGGATGGCTTCACAATTAATCCGAGTCTGACTGTGAATTGGAATTGGAGTCGACCGGCTTTGCTCTCTTTCTAGAAGCGGGTTTTTTTCCAATGGGTTTTTTTTCGGGCTTGCAAGTGGCTTTCGTTTTCGAACGTTTTTGCGAAGGCTTCATAGATTCGATCTCTTCAATTGGCAACTTCGTTGCTGAGCTTTGAAAAGTACCTTCAAATGGCATGTGTATTGGCCGATTGCTTTTTTTGACGGGGCTGATGTCGACTGAGTAGCCAAACTTTTTGTTCGCTGAACCTCTTGTGGTTTCTTGGATCATTATAATCC